TGCTATCCACTCGGGATATGTTCCGAGCCGTCATTCGAACAGATCGTGTGGCACCGTGTTGCTGATTCGCAAGGCCAAGTTTCGTATGAAGCACCTCGTGGACACACCTGCCGTCCCCAAGTATTTGAGGGGGCGGGTGGCCTTGCATCGTCTGCGTTCGGGCCGCTTCGACATAGTGATCCCGATCACGTACTTTCCCCCGAGACCGACAGCTCGGAGAGATGCGAGGGAGAGTGTGACCTCGGATGCACATCAGAAGTACCAGCAGACGATCGACGTGATGTGCAGTTGGTTGGAACAGGTGCTGTGCTGGACGCCACGGAGGGCCAGTCTCCTCTGGGGTTTCGACCTGAACGACTCGTTCGGCTGGCGCCGCCGTGGCGGGGGCCAGGCCCGTGTATGCTCACCCGCGCTGGGGCGACACTGCAATGCAGAACAGCACTACGCCAGCGATCGTGTGCTCGATCTCATGGAGCGCCACGCGGTGCGGGCGGTGTCGACTGATTTCCCGACGGGGCCCACGTATTTTGGCGCCTCCTCGGCGTCTTGTATTGACTTTATTGCGACCTTCGCCTGGCAGACGGATGATGTCAGAAAAGTTTTACCTTTGACCCGCTCGAGTGTAAGATTGAAGTTGATACGCAAGCAGGGTGTTCAAGATCATGTTCCCTTACTTCTGAGGCTTGAGTATATGTTCGACATGTCACACTCCCGCGTGGAGCAGGCGCCCTGGGACTATGACCGCTTGGCCCAAGCTCTCAGGCGCGGGACTGGAGTTCAGGAGTTCGTCTGCGATCTCGAGCGGGCCTTCGGTGCTGGGCCAGATTATCACGATCTATGTCTTCAGGCCTCCTCCCCAGATGAGGCGTGGGCCAGCTGGATCACCACGGTCCACAGGGTCGCGGAGCAGCACTTCGGCAAGCACGCAGGTGTGAACCCCCGCGCCCAGGCGTTCGCTGCGGAGCGCTCCCGTCTTCTTGCTGAGCGGCGACGCATTCGGGAGGCGGACGGCGACGACGAGCAGGTGTGCATGGCCCTTGCGAGGGCCTCACGACGACTTCGAGTGCTACGACGCTCTCGTCTGCTGGAGGCCACGGAGGAGCTCGTCCACGAGATCGGAGAGGCCTGGCGGGCGCGCCGTCACGCCGAGGTATGGAGGCTTGCACACTTACTGGCAGGCAAGTGCGGGGGCCCACGTCGCAGGAAGTATAACGTTGCGGAGGAGTTTGTGCCGAGACGTGACGAGGTGCAGCAGTATTTCTCTCTTCCTGGCCCACAGGGCGGTCTACGAGCAGAGCCTGTCGACTTCGACGACTACCAGAGTCACCAGCTGTCCCGTCTTCCCCCACCTCCGATGCTGGGACTGGACAACTTTGCGCACGTGGAGGAGGGGAGGGACGACTTGAGGGAAGTGACGGAGCTGCTCGAGCGTGCGCCGCGCAGGAAGTCGGCGCCTGCCCACAGCGTGCCGTGCGAGGTGCTGATGCTCACGCTCGACCCCAACCGCAGGTTCGATGGCCACCACAGGAAGCCGCGGAAGGAGCAGGACGGGGAGGGCGACGACGACGGTGGCGAGGAGGGTGTTCCTGCTCGGCGTGCCGATTTTGCTTCTCGGCACCGACTCGCTGGCGACCGTCGAGGACTGGGTGCGGACACTCCTCCCCTCGAGAACCCTGGGACCCTGAAAGCTATCCAGAAGATTTGTCACCATGTTCGACGAGTTGGCCGTACTCCGACTGTCTGGCATCATTCCCGTGCCACAGGTCTCTCGAAGTGTAACGGCAAGGCAGGCTTCAGTGCTAGGCGGTATATTCACGGCCTGTGCCGCATGGGCGTGATGTGGTACAAGGCCCTTCTTCGTCGTGGAGCTGCTGACTCCGAGCCCGATCGAGAGCATGGCTACTTGCCAGGCAGGAACCGCGAGGGGGCCATCATCTGCCAGGAGGCGCTGCTGTCTCGCCTGCGGGCTAGGGGCATCTCCACGATCACCTCGAAGGAGGATATGTCGAATGCTTTCGGCTGCACGCCCTTCAGTGAGCTGCGGGAGACGGTGTGTGACGCCGTCCTGCAGCAGGATCAGACCTTTTTTCGCCAACGGCACGAGCTGGCGACGTTCACGATCCAGGCGTCCGATGGTGAGCAGACGTTGCATAACCAGGTCGGGGCCTTCATGGGCGACAGCCCCGCGGCCGTGTTCTTTGCCCGCACCTTTCGACGGCCTGTCCAACGATGGCTTGATCGGCTGCGACAGGCCACCTGGTGCGATGTGCCTGCGCCACCTCGGCCAGAGACTCACGAGGAGTGGGTCTCGCAGAGGCTGGTCCCACCGGTGCCGCCTGACGACCCTGATCGGGTGATCTGGCCCAGCGAGGCACTGTGCACGGCCTGGGCGCCCTTTCTTCAGCGACCTGTGGATTTATCATGTCGAATCTATGCGGACGATACGTCTCGTACTCATATCGTCACGTCTGCACGAAATGCTCAGTATACTTAATCTCGTGCTCACCTTTTCTTGCGCGAGGAGCTGGCTTGCAGCGGGTATGCTCACAATGCAGAGAAAAGCAGCGTGTCTCCCTCCTTCGTGGGCCCTGGGGCACATCGTCATTCGTCGGAGCTCTTCAGTGGCAGGACCCCCGTCGACGGTCGCGTGCAGTTCGACAACATCGCTCTTGGGATCTCTACCTCAGTCAACGGGGGAGTGCAGAGTGAACTTCGTAGGCGAATCGTGGCATGCCGCAGGGGGTTCTATGGTATGGGTCGTTTCTGGAAGCAAAATAGGGTATGGCGGTTCACCCGCACTGTGTTTGGATCGGTTGTGCAGGGCGCTCTTCTATCTGGACTGACGGTGCTCGTGCTGACCCCCACTCAAGAACGGCGTCTCGATCGTGTCCTTGTTGGTTTCGCTAGGAAGATCTTGGGAGGCGATGCGTGCAAAAAGCTCGAGGTTGTCGATTCCGAGGTGGACCCCATCCGTGACTCGAATGATAAGCCCATCCTCAGATACAAGGCCGACTCCGATGAGGTCGTTCTCAGGCGTGTTGGTGTGGCTCCCGCTGGCACTGAGTTGATGGTGAGACGCCTGCGTATGTACAGGCGATGGCTTCTGGTCCCACGCACCCACGCCCAGGAGTTGGGATCTGTTTTCGGCCAGCTTCCCGTGGACCCTGGGCCGACGATCCTGGCGAACGGCTGTCTGTCTCTGGAGGCGAACGCTTATGCGCAGCGGTTCGTCGTCGATGTCGTGAAGTTGTTGAAGAGGTCCGAGGAGGAGGAGGGGCTCTTGGAGGACCTCTTGACGGGCTCGGAGGGGGACGAGAGGTTTCGGTTCAACGTCCGTGCGTTGTTTATGGACCATGACGTTCGGGAACGTTTTCTCCGTCTGGATCCAGGGGTGCTCAGGGCTGCTGCTCGTGCTGTGGCCATCGCGCCACCTCCTGGCCTCTACGGACCCCCTGGGATGGCTTCTGGCGCTCCTGAGGGCGCTGATGTACCTGACCCCCTTGCTCCTCTCTGGGCATGTGACCTCAAGGACTCCACGGGCGCTCCCTGCACGCGTACCTTCACGACACGTCGGGCACTACTGGCACACCAGAGATTCTCGAAGGCTGGCGGGCACAACTGCAGATCGATCGCGCACAGTATGACAATCACGAATGAGTGCATATGCTGCAGGCAGAGTTTCCGCACGAGACGCATAGCACAGGAGCGCACGGTAACGGCTGTACTGCACAATAGATGCCCACCACGAGCTACACCGTATGCGCGCGACGTGATCGAGCCAGACAGCCTCACGTGCCCTTTTTCGTTGATAACCTGTGCGTCACTGTGGAGGGATGGTCTGAATGCCCACGATGCCACGTACGCTTGCTCAAGCACCGAGATTTTCGCCAGTCGTGATCTGCTCCGCGCCCACATTCGTCAGTGCTGCCAGCTACGCCGCCCACACTACGTTCGGGATGTTTCGCCTGAAGGAAGAGGACCTCGAGGCGGCGGCGACCCGCAGCCGCTCGCAAGGACGAGGCGAGAGAGCCAAAGGGCGACAAGACCGCTCTGGCTCAGCGGCTGCCTCCCGAGGTCGCGGTGGGAGACGCGGACGACGTGGAGCGGCGGACCGCGGCAGTCGGCCACCTCGGCGCCAGCCCGCGGCCGCCTCGGGTGCCGCCGCGAGCGGCGCCTCTGCGGAGGCATGGGGGAACGCCAACGACGCGAAGATGGCGGTGGGCAAAGCGCACGGCCTGCCAGACGACACGCTCGAGAAGCTGCCTGTGATGTCGCAGACCATGGTGGCGAAGCTCATGCCCGTGCTGGTCAAAGCAGTGCTGGGCAACTCGTTCATGATCAGGCAGATGCCGTCGGCCACCTATCAGACGGTGATCTTGGAGGAGCCATCGGAGATTGCAAAGGCCGCCTTTCAGGCGGGGCGCGCCTACGCCACGAAGGCGGCGGCGATGCGCGAGGCATGGAAGCTCGACAACTCCAAGCCGCTGCCAGAGGCGGAGATGGGCCCTGCTCACGCTCAGGTGTTCCTGGTCACGGCCGACGCACTGGGCAAGGCAGGGGACAAGGTCGGAGCTCGGAACAAGGGATTGTGGGAGCAGCAGAAGATCAAGCTCGATCAGATCACCAGCATGACGGACATGAGCCTGCTGGTGCGCGGATTCCGTATCAGCCAGTGCTACAAGGAGGGCAATGCGAAGCTCTTGTTCGCGCTCGCGGACGTGGAGTTGACAAAGATACTCACGGATTGCATCGTCCAGCTAGGCGGCGAGATCAAAGCAGGAGTTGCCCCGAGATCCAACGTAGAGCGGATCCTGCAGCTGGCGATCGACGATTGGGAGGACTCGATGCTATGAAAGATGTGACGAGGTCGGTGGCGGGGTTCACTATGACTGGTGCGACGGTGTCGGCGACGTTGTCGCCTTCGTTTGGTGCGACGGCGTCGGTGGCGGGGTCCACTATGACGGGTGCGACGGCGACTTTGGCGTTGTCTCCTCCGACAGGTGCGACAGCATCGGTTGCGTCGACGGCTCCGACTGGGGCGGGGAGGGGATCACCTGCGCCAAGGGCTGCTTCCGAGGGCGAGTCCAAGGGCCAGGCACCGTCTCGACCTGCCGCCCTCCCTCCTCCCTCTGCCCCAAGACAGTACAGTTTTAAAGAGTTAGTAAGAATGGTCACTGGACCCTCCAGGTAGTCTCGCTTTCGGGCCGTGGGACTCCTGGCCGTGGGGCTCCTGGCCGTGGGACTCCTGGATAGTTGGCCGTCGTCCTTCCTGCTTCTGGTCTTAGTTGGCGGGTTCTGGCCCTGGTGGCTCCGTCTACTAGGTGCTCGCTGCAGGGAGTGCGGGGTGCTGGAATTCGCTTCGTGTTCAGCCTTGGTCGAGCGATCAATCAGTCGGGGCTCCCGCCGTGGGGGGCCTGCATTCGCAGTATTACTAGCGCACGGTAGGTCGCACAATTCGAAATTCATTTCGATTGCTGTTTTGTCGGGGTTATGCTCGACTCGGCCCGTTACCGCTTCGCCGCCGCCGCCGCCGCCTCCTCCTCCTCCTCCTCCTCCTCCTCCTCTTGTCTCCTCCGCTCCCCTCCTCCTCTACTCCAAGAGCCGCGCGCTCGCGCCAGGGGGTGAAGAGGAGATGGGGTCGAGGGAGCGCCAACATGGACCGAGGCGCGTGGCTCGGCCACGGGTCCCGCTTCCATTTATATATATATATAAATAAACAAAACAGCAGCCCGCGCTGTCGCCAAATGAGGCGGCGTTGGCCTCATGTGTCGGGGGGTGGCCTTCACCGATCCATGGATCTGGCGCCCACGCACCATATCCACGGATCCCTGATCCATGTCAGCGTGCGGATCCCGAGAGTGGGAAAAGGAGGATGAGTTTGGAGCTTGCCAGAAAGGAAAAGCCGAAAGCCTGTCGGCGATTAGTGGCATGCGGCTGGCACCAGAGGCGCTAGCTCGCGCGGGGGTTTGCGGAGGAGATGGGGAGGGAGGAGTGGGAAGAGGAGGAGGCGGCGGAGGAGGAGGAGGAAGAGGAGGAGGAGGATATTGCCAGTCAGGTAAAGCCGAAAACCCGTCAGAGATTGGCCCCACTCGGCTGTCAGAATGTCAGTGGGCCGCAATCCCGCACGGGCGCCAAGGAAAACTGGCTTCAGGCGAGGGCAACTGAGTAAGCGGCGCGACTCGAAATCGATGCGATGAGGGAACGAGTGTGCAGCGGCAGCCCAGCCCCCACACTTGCCAGCGGCGTCAGCCCAGTCCCACACAGGCTATTGACGGCAGCAGCGTCGCGCAGTGTCTTGGGGCTGGCCGTCTTCCTCGCCCTAGCGTTCAGTCGGGCCTGTCCCCCTACAGGGGGATGGTCGACGAACAATAAAGAATACCCCCAAAATGCACCAAAAAGGCCAAACAATTTTCAAAAAAATAGTCCCCAGACTATTTTTGGACTATGTTTTTAAGGTTTTTGGGGGTTATTTTTATTTTTCGTCGAACATCCCCCCGTAGGGGGGCAGGCCCGACTTAACCCTAGCGTCGCGACGACCGGGGTAGAGCAGAGATGACCCCAAATCACTCCCTGGCGACGGGCACAGGCGCGAGAACTAGCCAGCTGGACAACACGTCCCTCTGGATTGCCGGCCGTGGTTCGTTGTTGATAAGTTGTGAGTTTTTTGCCGGCAATTGCTACGCATTGTTGTTATACAGGCGTTTCCCGCACACGCAGTGAAGCATAATGCCTAATTAATAACATCGTACACCCTATTACCATATGGCACTCGACTGCGCTCTGTCGAACATCCCATACCCAAAACGAGGATCTATGGGCCATGGAGTGGCTTGCTGGTGTGCGCGTGCATTCTCGGTTGCCACGCGTGCAGCACTGCGCATGCGAGCCTGTTTCCGATGGTGCCCAGTGCGCGCGCGCGCAGCTCGTGAGGCGTAGCGCCTGGTTAATGAGCATGGTCAGGGGCAGGCTGGAAGGATTTAATTTCACCTAACAGGGACGTAGCATCCACATGCCACATACCCCTGTTCCTCATCGGTCTCGTGTGGACCAGACTGTCTGGGCTCAGCCGTAGGATCCAGGCTGACATCCGGCCCAAGTGTAGAAACAAGACGACATGGAGAGAGGAGGAGGGATGGAGGCAGGAGGAGGAAAATTGAGGGGAGCAGGAGGAGGATTAGGAGGTGCAGGAGAAGGCCCCCAAGGGTTATCCGCCGCCGGCGTTGATAACGACGACGAAGACGACGATGACGACGACGACGACGACGACGACGACGACGACGTTGGCCGCGGCTGTGGCGGCGAAGGCGACGCCCGTCCGACAGGTCCTCGCGTGCGTGCGGCAAGGGAATTACACATTCGAGCCAGAGGACGTCCTCCTCTTCTCCCTTTGGGGGGGCGGCGCGCTTCGCGGAGCGCGAAGCGCGAAATTGGGAGCCCTAGTAAACCCCGGTCAGGGCCGCAGCCTAGGAGGCGTCCTGGTCATGTCCTTCTCGAGGCCCCCTCTCTGTGCAAGTGTTGCGGCCGATCCTTTCCTTGCGTGCCCCCGTGGCGGGTCTATATGTTGCGAGCCCGTCGTGCGTGTCTTGAGCGCTCTCTCGCGTTACCTGCGAGAGCGTGCACACAGGGTGTGCTTGAGACCACCGCACATGGAAGATGTTTCGCCTGTGTTGCTTCATGGTTCCGTCCCGTTGCGATTGTACGACAGTGATTGGCTTAAGGCCTATTCTTGACCTTTCGCCCTCTTCATGGTCCCCCGTCGCATCATCTTCCTGCCCCATCTTCTGCCCCTGTTCGCTGCGTTATCATCCATGCTGCTCCGGCCAATTCGCCTCGTCCTCCTTATTATCGTCATCTGTGCATTCATCCTGTTCCTCCTTCATCTTGTTGCTCCTCCCCATTCGCTTCCTCGTCTCACCATGTTCCAATCCTCCCCGATTCAACATGATGCTTGCTCCTTCTTGCCCCATGGTTCACTCATCCTCTTGGCGCGTCCCTTTTCCCGACGAGGATTGGCGAACCATTTCGAGGGATGCCAAGGACCTTGTTCGCAACCTGATCAAGATGAATCCTGCGGACAGACTAGCGGGAAGAGAAGAAGGAAGACGAGGGGGAGGATGAGGGTATTGACAAGGGGTTATGGCGCCTTATATGATGATAGTGAGGAGGAGGATGCTGATGATGATGATGATGATGATGATGATGATGATGCCGATGATGTTGATGATGATGAGTATGATGATGGTGATGATGATGATGATGGTGATATTGATGACGATGATGCTGATTATGATGATTATGATGATGCGAATGATGATGATGCTGAGGAGGAGGAGGAGGAGGACGGTGATGCTGATGATGATGATTATGATGATGCCGATGGTGACGGTGTTTAGTGTGATGGGAATGAAGCTGATGGTGATGACGTTGCTGATAAGTTCCCGAATTGTGTTGGCAGTTTGGATTTCTCATGCCGCATCTAAGCAACTGGCCCTGAATGGAGGTCTGGCGGCTATGTGGCCGCCGTCGCCGCCCCGTCGCCGCCGCGTCGCCGCCCGTGATTTGGCCTGAATGGCAGTCTGGCGGCTATGTGGCCGCCGTCGCCGCCCCGCCTCGGCCTCGTCGCTGCCAGTCGTCTGCGCCTGTTGTCGCCGTCGCCGCCCCGTCGCCGACGTTTCCGCTCGCCGCCGCCTCTAGATTACACCACATAGATTGAGTTGCGTTGCTGTGCATTGTTGTGCATTGCTTAGCGTTGCTTGACATTGCTTGTCATTGATTTGCATTGAGTTGCATCGTATTCCCTTGCGTTGCTTCGCGCTACGTTGCTTTACGTTGCGTTGCTTCGCGTTACTTTGCATGGCATTGCTGCGCATTGTGCTGTAGTGCGTTGCCTTGCGTTTCGTTGCTTTCCCTTGCCTGGCGTTGTTTTGTCTAGATTTGCAGTGCATTGCATTGCGTTGCTCTATGTCGCACTGCATCGCGGTAATTCCTTCTACCGTGCGTTTCGGCGCTTCGGGGCGACACGCCCCCCGGCGACGCGTCCTGCCAGCGTCGCTGCGGCTCTTTTTGTTACGGTGCTTGCTCACGTAGCGCCCGCGCAGATTCCCCCAATTATTGCTCGCACTTGTTCTTGATTCCATAATAAGGGGGGGGGTGATACCCGCCAGACTGGCCCTTTCAGCCCCCCCCACAACTAGCCATGAAAGGGCGGCCGTTTTGCCCAGCCCCCAGAACACTGCAAGACAGCTCAAATAAGACCCCCTCACGAGTCAGTCATCCTCCACTCTATCCGTGAGGGCTTCGCCCCCTGCCGCCGGTCCCTTCTCTATCATAATAGGATCGGAGGTTGGGAGGTGAGATCGCAGTGAAACGGAGACCCTCCACCGGGAAATCGGTTTCGGTTTCGGTTTCGTGTTCGTGTCGTGCGTGCGGGCGAGGCGAAGCTGCGCGTGATCTTCCTGTAGCTAGGCCGAAGTAGGAGCGAAAGTCCGTTCCCGTCAGCCAGTAGCTGAGAGGTGGCCAAGTTGGGCCGGGCGGTGTCCCGGGTGTCCCGGGTGTCAGTAGGAGCGAAAGTCCGTTTCCCGTCCGCCGGTGGCCGGGAGGTGTCCCAGTTTGGCCGGGCGGTGTCCCGGGTGTCCCGGGTGTCCTGGGCGTCCCGGCGCTAACGCAGGCCGCTAGTTTCATATATCATTTTTTTGTCGGCGCCTGCGGCGGGCTTTCTTATCCAATCCAGCTTATCTTCTCCAATCCATATTGTCCAGTCCGATCCATATTATCTTATCCAACCCATATTGTCCCATCTTATCTTATCCCACCAAATCCAATCCACCCAACCCAATCCATCAATGAATTTGTTTTTGCGCCTGCGGCGGGCCAATCCAATCCATCTTATCTTGTCCAACCCAGCTATTCCAATCCAACTCATCTTACCTTGTCCTATCCATCTTATCCAATCCAATCCAATCCACCCAAGCCAATCCATCAATTCATTTGTGTCGGCGCATGCGGCGGGCTTTCTTATCCAATCCAGCTTATCTTATCAAATCCATCTTGTCCAATCCAATCCATACTATCTTATCCAGCCCATCTTGTCTCACCTTATCATATCCAAACCACTCCAATCCATCCGACCCAATCCATCAATTCATTTGTTTCTGCGCCTGCGGCGGGCCAATCCAATCCATCTTATCTTCTCCAACCAATTTTTCCCAATCCAACCCATTTTATCTAATCCAATTTATCTCTCTCAGAGAGAAATGAGATCAAAGTGACAGGCTGGAGGTCGGTCAGGGTGGGCATTTGATTTCAACCCCCCCCCATATTCCGTTATCGCCCGCAGGGCGGTCGTATAGGTATATCAAAGTCGCGTCGGTGCGTCTCGGCGATGCCTTAGCGCATTTGGGAACATCATGCGGGTGAATAGGAGTCATCAGTGCATCTTGAGGTTTTGGCGTTATCGACGACGCCTACGGCGAATCACCGCCGCCCCCTGCCCCTTTGGAAGCGCCCATGCGGCCGACAGCTGGGCTCGAGCTTGGCCAAGCTATCGGGCCAGTTATTCCCCGAGTCGGTTTGGAAAGCCTTCGGGGAACGCGTGGGGGGGCAATAGGAGGAGGATCAGGGGAGGGAGGAGGATGATCAGGAGGATGAGGATGAAGATGTGGATGAGGATGAGGATGAGGATGCCGAAAAAAAGCAAATGCCCACATCTTTCAAAACCCTGGGGAAGATCAATGATTGTGATCTCTTCGGGTCCTCCTGTAGGACCTCTTGGAGGCCTCTTGGGCCCTCTTGGGTCATCTTGAGGCCATCTTAGGCCGTCTTGGGTGCATCCTGGGCCGTCTTGGAGGCATCTTGGGGCCATCTGAGCTGTCTTATAGGCCATGTTGGCCGTCTTGGAGGCCTCTTGGGGATCTCTTGGAACCGTCTTGGGGGCCTCTTGGGCCGTCATGGGGCCATCTTGGAGGCCTCGTGGGCCATCGTGGGGCGATCTTGGGGGTCTCTTGGGCCCGTCTTGAGCCGTCGGAATGCCGAAAAAAAACGAATGCCCAAACCCTTCAAACACAATGGAAACTCAATGATTTGGGTCTCTGTGTGCCCTCGTGGAGGACCTCTTGGAGGCCTCTTGGGCCACGCTGGAGGCATCTTGGACCCTCTTGGGCCGTCTTGGAGGCCATCTTGGACCATCTTAGGCGGACTTGGAAGCCATCTTGGGCCATCTTGCCCGTCTTGGAGGCGTCTTGGAGTCCATTTGGGGCCGTCTTGGGCATGAAAGGGATTGACCTGTGCCGTTTGGGGCCTCTTCGGGTGGCCGGCGGGACGTGCCGAAGCCCCAGGGAATAAAGAGCCAGAACCGTCTAGGATCCATCACGCCAGGCACCCTTTTGATACATCAGCAGGGGGCGGTGGATCGAAGATGCCTACGGCGAGTCACCGCCTTGGGGACCTCTTGGGCCGTCTTGAGCGCTTCTTGGGCCATCTTGGGGCCCTCTTGGGCCGTCTTGGGGCCCTCTTAGGGGCGTCTTGGGCTGTCTTGGGCCGGTCTTGGGAGCTTCCTAAGCCGTCTTGGAGCGCCGGAAAGCCGGGAAACTGTGAGAAGGCGGCCAGCATCCTTCAAACACCTGCGCAAAGTCTACGATTTTTGCCTCTTGAGGCTCTCTCGGGAAGCCTCTTGGAGCGCTCTTGGGGCCTCTTTGGACCCTCTTGGGCCGTCTTGGAACCATCTTCGGGCGCCTTGGAGCACTCTTGACTTCGGCAATGCGAATACGTAATTTATAAGGGTCTATGGCTTCGGGGACGCGCATCTTGTGTAATGTACACAAGGGTGTGTTGCCTCGGGGACGCAAGCATTGTGTAATTTACTAAGGTTTGTGGCTTTGGGGACGCGAACGTTGCGTATGTTATGAGGGTTTACAGCCTCGGGGCACGAATCTCAGAAATTTCTACGCGTCCCAGGATCCCCCAGGCAACCGGGCGAATTAGGGCTTCCCCCCCTCGCGCGGACAGCAACAATTGACAGTAGAAAGCAGAAAGTGTAACTATCACAACGGGAACTGGAACCTGCAACTGGAGCAGGGAGCAGCAAGCCTAAGCCTCGCAGCCTGATGGCCCCGCAAGGGAGCCGGCGGATGTCGGAATGGGGCGCAGTGGACCTAATTTCTCTTGTAAGAGATTTCGCCTGGCTGGCGGTCTTGCGGCTGCGTGCTCGCCGTCGACGCCCCGTCGCCGCCTCGTCGCCACCAGTCGCCTGGGCCTGTCTGGCAGTCTGGCGGCTCCGTGTTCGCCGTCGCCGCCCCGTCGCCGCGTCGTCGCCGCCAGTCGTCCTGGGCCTGGCTGGCAGTTAGGCGGCTCCGTGGTCGCCGTCGCCGCCTCGTCGCCGCTCCGTCGCCGCTTAGATCACACAACGTAGATTGCACCACGTAGATTGCATGCCATAGGTTGCACGACGTAGAGTGCACCGCATAGATTTCACCACGCACGTTGTACTACTTTGATTGAACCACATAAGCTCCCAGGATAGATTGCACCATGCAAAATGCCCCACCGATATTGCCCAACATCGATCGCGCAACATGTAGTGCATCACGTATTTTCCACGGCGGTGCTCCGCGCACATTCCACCACACATTTTGCACCACATGGAGTGCATTGTAGATTGCACCACATAGAGTGCATATCACACGATGTGCATCACATTGTTTGCGCCACAGAGGTTGTACAGCAGTGGTTGCATGACATATATTGCACCACGTAGATTGCACCACCTAGTCTGCTCCACTCATAGTGCACAACGCAGATTGCACAATGTAGGTTACACAACATATATGGCAAAACATGTACTGCACAACGTAGATGGCACCAACCAGTTAGACCCACCTGAATTCCACAATCTATATTGGTAGAAATGCACAGCTTGGGGTTCACACTGACTACCATGATCAGTGTGATGATGATGATGAAAATGTTGATGATGATGATGATGTTGATGATGATGGCGATGATGATGCTGGTGTTTGCGATGATGATGGCGATGTTGATTATGCGAAGTCTGCTCAATGGTGTACGGTAGGCTA